GAAATCTACCCTCACAGTGTCATCTGATACTGTGAATGTTATTCAGTCAAATTTGTTACCTGAGAAAACCATACAAATCCAAAGGATCAAGTATTTTAGTTATGACTAAAGAATAAATAAATTATGTCATTTTTCCCCCTTTTCCTTCTCTTTGGCATTCTTATTGCCTCCATTGATTTATTTATTCATTTTCCTCGATGAATAATATTTTTTTTTCTAGTATGAACTTTCAATGAAATGCGCTGTTTATATATAAAACGCGCATGTGCCTCAAGGCACACGTCTCTCTTTCGAGCAGTTTGCTCTAAGGTGGAAAATGCACTTTTCTTGTTAAGTCAACAACCATTTTGCTTGCTTAATACCCATTTTAATCCCAGGTTCTTAGAACTGCTTGTTATTATGAAGTTTAAAAATAATTTTTGAATACATATTGAACCACAGAAAATTAACTATATTTTTGATTTCGCCAATAATATGCATATAACTTTGAAATTCATGTCCAAAATTTCTCACAAATTTTGGATAATTTCATTATACAACTATTTTCCATTGTTTTTTAATTTTTTTGAAGGCCGGGTTTATCCTTTTAATTCTTGATTTGTGGACCTTTTTTCCCAAAGAGCAGAAAAAAAAAGGAAATTAAACATCAAAGAAATATACTTATTTTTTAAATTTCTTTAATTTCAAATGCATTCATTTCCCTTTTCCCCCAATGTAATGTTCTCCTGGAAAATTAGGAAAAAATATCCCATTTCTAAAATCATTTCTGAAACTGGACTTTGTCCTCTACATATAACAAAAAAATATTAAAGACCTGACAAAATTGAAAATATGAAAGCCTTACCTGGCTCAGAGCTTATCGGTTTGAACCGTTTTGTTCCAGCAATGACATGTTGAGCCTAAAATGATGACCAAGAATAATTAGAGGCAGAAGCCATTGTGTTTGTTAAGCATGTGGAGCCCATCCTTTAACCTGTTAAACAAGCAGAACACAAATTACGTCGGAAGCAAAAAAAAAAAAAAAAAAAACCTTTAAATTCACAAAAAACAAAATGGAGATAACCCAATTTAATTTTCTTTTCTGAATTTCCACACCATGAAAAACTCTAATCATCAAAACAAGTTAAACCAGAAACCCTAAATCCACAACTAAGCTACTTAAAAAATCAACTTATAACCCCCCAAAAGAGAGAAGAGACAGTTTTTTTGATTGCATGGATTGTAAGTTTTCTGGTTTTGTTTAGCATGTTAGAGAAGGCCATTTTTCATGAAACTTCTATGGAGGAAAGGAAAAGGAGAAAAAAGAACTTGCTTAAAGTGTGAATTCAAGGAAAAGATCTTTTCTTTTTACTGTTTCATCAAATTTGGATTGCACTGACTTTCTAAAAAAGCATTTAGCTTGTTTTATACTGCAATAACTTCCTTGCAAGTAAAGAACATTTCTTTTATTTCCTTTTTTTTATTTAGCAACCAAATCTAAACGACAAAATTTTTTAATTCTTAAACTTCCTTTTTTTCTCTTGAGATATCTTAAAAAGATTGAAGGAAGGATATGCAATGCCGTGTTTGCTTCAATTTAAGAACCTCATTTGTATTAGTACTAACCTGAACTGGAACAGCAGCTTCTTCAATGGCTGACTCTCTCTCTGGCAACTTCAAATATTTTCCGATCAATTCTTTCAAATTTCAAATCTCCAAACTGCTCCAACATTCTCTTCCAGAAAGCATACACATCACAGGTGAAATAGCTTAACAATTTGATAAAGTCCCTAATCCCCATTTTTCCTTCCCCCCCTCTGGTTATTTATCAGAACTTAAAATAGCAACAGAACCCAATTTAGAAACTTCAACAAAATGAAAACAGTTCCATTCAACATCCACCCATTGTGGCTGCTTTTGTATATGGTACACATATTCGAGAGATAATCAAGATAATCTAGAAGATGAGACCTTCAAACGATTATATAATGTATGGGATCCTTTAAGATTCTAATGCTAAGTTTTAAAAAAAAGAAGAAACGCAAAGTCAAAGAACCTCAGCCGAACCATTTTTCTATTTTCAAACGCCTTAAAGGAAAAGCATTCTTTTATATATTTTAACTCCAAAGAAACAAAAATTCCAATTACATAAACCACAAATATTCAATAAGAACAGTATCACACCTGTTTTAAATGCTTAATACCCACAAACCAGTGTCGAAGACACTTCTATTCCCTATTATATATCCATTTGCAGGAAAGAACTATAGAAAAGTAATGGTTTTGCTATTACAACTTTAATCCACTAATTGCCCAACTCTCTATCTCTCTAGAAATATAATTTTATATTATAATCGGCGATTTAAATCTTTAGAGAGAAACATATCTATTGAGAGATGTTTCAACACTTAATTCCACTATTCGATGTAGAATTTCATGATACAACGATTATGTTGTAGACGTGAACATCCAATAATTATAAGTTTAGGGATCGTCAGCTCTATTTATACAATTATGGAATTCCGTGAATGGTTTCACATTATACTACCATACTAATCTGTATATAGTAGGTTAAAAGCAAGGATAATTCCAATTCATAGACGATGAAAGAATCAAAACAATAACATGTTTCTCTCTTTATGATTGGCTTGGGTGCATAGATGACTCGAGGTCTTTATCCCTTAAATTGAGATATCAAAATGACATCGCAATTTAAATTTTATTAATTATATAACGAGCCAAAATACCCTTTTCCAATAAAAAAGAAATAATTGGGTCAGGTAAATGAATAAATAATATAGATATTGTTGAATGATCTAAGTATTTTGTAAAAGGGGTTGTATGAAATGCAGTCTAAATGTCGCACGCCAAAAATCTCTCGAGTCAAAAATCAACCAAACCTCTTTTTGGTCAAATTAAAGGAACCTCTTGGTCAACGATTGAAGTCGTTCATTTTTTATTTTAAATACCTTAAATTTTTCTATTGTCCCAGGTGGGTGAATACTTAACCTTTTTAAATTAAATAAAGGTGTCCATTTAAGAGGTAAAAACAAAAAAAAAAAGTAAGTATGGAAAGTTAAACTACCCCTCCACATAAGTTAAAAATAAAAAAATAAAAATAAAAGCCAAAAAACAGTAATTTCAACAAGGGAACGGTTTTCTTTTCTAATAGTCCAAAAAAGATGCAGCGTGTTAAAAGGAATGGCTTTCATCGACAGACATGGGTATATACATTTCTTCAGCTACAAAAGTAATCAATTTCTGTATATAAAAAAAAAAAAAAATCACTGAAATTTTGATAACAATGTTTCATATTAACGAACCATAATTCAAGAGTAAAATTATATATTAGACTTGAAAAAAAAAAAAATAATTAATTTAAAATATTTATTTTTTATGGATTAAGTTGATATACACACATGACATATCGTCACGCCCTATTATCAAATCGAATGGTAATTTTATAAAGACATAATAATATATATATATTATATATATAATATATATATATACTATATATATTATATATAATATATAATATATATATATATAATAATATATATATATATATATATATTATATATAAACTTTCCATATTTAAATCTAGAACAACCAAGTTAAATACATTATTAATTTACAATTTTGAATTAATCTTACCATGAGTGGTTTCAAACCTCGCTCTGTTCTGTACTTCCTAATCCAAGAACTTGAAGATACCTCGAAATTTTTGATTGCGGAGTAGAAAAAAAAAATAATAATAATAAATTTAAGTTGTAGTCAATTTCAGTATTTTATATGTTTGGGACTTTTAATTCTAGACAATTTTGGAAATTTCGGGTTCCGGATATGGATTTGGATTAACAAACAATTGGCTTTCCCCTCATTTTTTTTTCTCTTCAATTATTTTATTTTATTACAAGAATGAATTATAGAGCCTAAAAAAAATGGAATAATAATGATTTGTATTTTAATTTTAAGTAAATAAGGTTTAAATATAATTAACTATGGATAAATATATATGAAATTAAGAATTTGAGATAAAACTAAAAAAGAAACACAAGCTCCTCCTTCAAGTAAGGCAGTTGGTATTTGTATACTAAATAATACAAACACTTTAATATTAATATCATATTAAAAGCCTTAAACCGTACGTTGTGATATTTTATAATTTCAAATTACTCCATTCCTTTTTTTTAATTATTACCTATTCTAAAAATGATAAATTTATTTTGTATTTTAATTTGATTTTCTTGGAGTGACATCAGGGAAATGAATACATACATATACAATGCCCAAAGAAGTAAAAGTCTAAACGTCAAAATTGAAATTTAACGAGCAAAATTATTACACCAACCAACCAAGCAAAAAGAAAAAGTGTGAGGTCTTGTTTGAACACTTGTGTTGTTTGGCCCGGTCATAGTGTTCGCTGTACAAGATTTCCTTTTTTCGTTTTTTTACCTTATAATAATTGAATGTCAAGATTAAAAGTAATTTTGTATGAACAAGCTGTATTATTCGACTACGTATATCATCTCTACCTAAACCATCATTTCTTTGCCTTTATTGTTAAAATTACGTTTATTTTAGTAGCATTTGCTTGTTAAGTTGTTTGAGTAGCTTTTTAACAAAACGGTAAAAACTTAAAACGTTAACAAATGGATTAACTGTTTTTATAAAACGTTTGTCTTAACCTATAAAAATTAGTTTCAAAATGCTAGGTTTTTGACTAAAAGTTAATTTAAAAAGCTGTTGTTGAACACACCCGAGTCTTAATTAACCAAAGCTCATCAGCTTTGGTTTATTATAGACAGACAAATTTAATTTTCCAATATCATCACACTTACAAATCTTGTTTTATTACAAGCTATGAATGAAAAATTCTCTACAATTGAATAAAAAATCTATGGGGCTAAAAGACGCATTTCTTTCGCTTTGTTTGCCAAAAATGCTAGGCCAAATGTTGAAATAGAACCAATTTCACCAACAGAGGAAACCGCAATAGGTCAAATAGTTGGTAATACAATTAACAGCTGCAATTAGAGCTGCAATCCACTGGACTTTATGAGACATTCCAAGAGAAGCATCACCGAAGACACCTAACATGAAACCTATTGAAGAAACATTAAGGTTATAAGACCAGCGATCAATCTCATAGCAGGCTTTAAAAAAATCTTTCTTCTGCATATCGGGATGTGATCATCCCAGAATATTAGCAGTGAAGTAATTGAACAGAAAAGGGCTAAGACATCTGAATAGCGTAACTCATAAGATTTTGGCTTAAGTAAATGGATCCCTTTACTCAACTGTTGCCACTGGAACAGTTAAAAGCTGCTGCAAACCTACAGTAAGAACAAGTGCAGCAACAGTTGCAACATGAATATTGCTGTTTTCTTCATCCATTTCTCGCCTCTCTCAAACAAGATCGCTTGTGCTCTCTGTGAAACACCTCTCTTGGAGTTTTTTCCTATCTTTATTTTTCTCCTTCTTTTAGTATGAATGCTGGGACCTTCCTCACTTCTGTGCAAAATTTTACAAACTGATTATTGAAATAAACTAGGAAGATTAAGATTGGGTCTGTTCTAAGTTCCATATTTATATAACCTTAACCATTTGCTAGTTCTCTTTGCATTTCAAGCAGCATAGTAAATTTCTGGTTTGAAGGCCGCAATTGCTAAATGCAACATGTTGTGTCTGATTTATCGTAGCACTGCTGTTACGAATGCTTATGCCCGTAACCCATTTGATATAAGGAGAGATTAAGAATTCTTTCTTGGCGGTATTTACGGCAAGATGAAAGATCGTAAGCCCATCGCTTTTCATCGTAAGCCCAAAGTAATAGGGTAGGCTTTAATAACCTCTATAACAAATTCTTTGAATTACCCGATATAGCAGCTCTCCGAGATTTGCAGGTCCCTTAATATTTATCAGCTTGTTTTACAAACCTGCTTCTAACTTCAGAAATTCAAGATTTCAGTAGTTCTTGGCTTGCTTTATTCATCAATAACTGTATTTGTATGCGGAGTAGAAATTGAAATTGGCTTCAGTTCTTTATTGTTTTCTCTTAATTCTCCCTTTTTGAAATTCTCATATCTCCAATCTCCAGGACAGTTTCTGCTATTCGCATAGATACCCCACAAAATCTGCAATAAAAAAGGAACATTGTGTTAGGGATATTCGGGCAAATAAAGTTTAACAAGAATATTACGGCAGCGGAAAATAAAAAATTGGGACACAGAGGCAGAAATTTACATGGTTCCACCCTTAAACTGTTTAGGGCTAACGTCCAACGGGACCAAAACTCCGAATATTCTTCCACTATGAAAAAATAGTAGGCTTACAAGAGAGTATATACAAAATAGTGGTAACTGAACCAGAAGTGTTTCCAAAAAAAAACACCCTAAATAATCTTCAACTATTTTTCTAAACCCTTAGTTAAGAAGAACCCTCTTTAAAAACTAAAAAACTCTCTATCGTTCCTCGTCAGTTGGTATGTTTGAAAATGAGGAAAATCCTCTCATATTTAAGGAGAGGAAACGTGTATAAACGCATTTTCTACTATTTTTTTTATTTATTTAAGCATGTGAGTTTACTCGAGTTAGGCTCTCACGCTAACAACCAAAAGATTTGGTGGGTAAGCTTGTGAGTCCTACTTGAGTAGGTACCGACACTACCAACAAAGAATTTGTGGGTTCCCACTTGAGTGGGCACGCCACAGCAAATCTCCCCTGGACACTCAAGTGGTGAAACGTTAGCCATACTCTCTATCATCCCTGCAGCTAGTCGACAATATTCAAACTACTACTTTATCTTTTGGAAGAATCTTCGTTAATATATCTGAATCCATTTCATCCTGTATGGATCTTCCTCAAGCTGTACTGCTTCATCTCCAGTACATCCTCATCAATGATATCTAACATCAAAATGGTGCTTTGATCTTGAATGAAAGGAGGAATTCTTCCCAAGATAGAAATCGTCACTCTGACTATCGCAGAATAATCAAATATCGTTTCTTGATGAATTCCGAGTTCATTCAAGAACTTTTCATCACAACAACTCTTTGCATGCTTCTGTAGTGCTATGAATTCCCTGCTTCTGTTGTTGATAGAGCAACGCACTTTCCTGTAGTCTTGACTGCATGACACAGCTCCCCTTGCAAATTGGGTTTTTTTGATTAGATACCCTGATGTGGACTTTCTCGAGTCAAACATCCCCAGCCATAATCTTGCATTCGTATACCGACTAAATACCTACTGGCTTTCTATCTCCAAAAGCATAAACCAATAAAATACTTGGTCGTACATCGAAGATATCTGAAATCATTTCACTGCAGCCCCAATGTTCCTTTTCGGGATTTAAAGAAATCGACTCACTATCTCCGACTAGAGTGAGCAATTCCTGGGCCGTGTACAAACATGAACATCATTAAGCTTCCAACTGCTTGAAGCATATGGAATCTTTTTCCATCTCTTCCTTCTCCCATCGGTAGAAGGGCACTGTTTTGAGCTTAATTTTAAAGTGATTAGCAGAGGACAACTAACCGGCTTTAGAATTTTCATTTAAACCTTTGAAGTACTTTTCTCAATGTACTTCTCCTGTGGACAACCATAATTCTTGGTTCTTCGATTCCTTGTAATCTTCATGCCAAAGAATTCTGCTTTTGGCTGGTTCCCAAGTCTTCATAAAGCAAAAGATTTACTTAGCTGTTTCTACAAGCTATTAATTCTTGACAGTTCTGACCAATCATCAACATAAATCATCTACATAGAGCCAAAGAGAATAAATGGTAGTCATCACATCAGAGAATTTCTTTACGAAGACACATGATCCTGAAGTAGTCTTTTTGTAGCTTGGCTCCCCATCAGACTCCAAACTTCTTGTACCCACTGTCTTGGTGCATGCTTCAAGCCGTATAA